AAGTTTGCATAAAAAAAAAATTAGGCTGCTGCGAATAGCAAGCTTCTTTAGTAAGGTTTAAATGATTCTATTTATACAATTTTTAATTCACATAAAACTTTCCCAAAATGCTTCTGATGCTTCAGGTGAGGAACACGTTTAATGCTGAATGTCACTTACCTTCCGATAAATCATATGGCACATGGCTACTCTTAACCTCATCCCAGCACACTGAACATGATAAAAATATAAGTGGTGCAGTATGGCCAAAAACAGTGTCAAGACAACCAGCACCGTGGCACAGGCATAAGCTGTGTGCAAAGCCACAGAATCCGCAGTATCATTTTCAAAATAATTAATAATTTTCCCCAAAAATATGGGCTGAATTACTTTGATGGATTCCTAAAAGAAGGGGAAAAAAAGCCTTAATTAGATATACAAACCATACCCATTCTTCTTAGAACAAACTTTACTTTTATTAGCATGTCAAAAAGGCATTTTGATAAAGTGTGACATTCATCACTAATCTAAAGGAAAAAACAGAACTACTTTCCTCAAGACAAGCAGATAATAGCTTTAACCTGAAGTCAAAAATCATAGGTTCAAAGATAATAAAGCTTCAGTACATTGTGCTTGGTACAATGTGAATGTTCAATAAATGTTACAAATAGTATTTTAAAATATACTTGGCAAACTACCAAATAAGTCTTGGCCTACAGAGAATAAAGGAGAAAAAGTGGCCCAAGAGGGATAAGGAATTTGCTTCCATATGGACAGCCCAGCCTCGTTCTGCCCGTTTCCTCTGTACTCTCGACATCCCAACCCCAACTCCACGTGTCAATAAATCCAAGAGAACCAAGTCCAGCTTCTGTTGGAATATTTAAAAAGGAATCCCCAGGCTCTTGGCCACAGGTGACATTGCTTCAACAGAAGCAGAAGTTGTGCCAAAAGACAGTGTCATCAGTGGTTCTCTATCAGCCACATTAGAGATTCTGATTTTGAAGCAATATTAATAATCATCTATTCCCCAGGGCAAAAATTAAAATCTCACACCAATGAGCTGGGAGGCATTGGGGCTTACCTTCTGAATAAGACATAGGAAAACAATTTTCCCCCCAAGACTAGAGGCAAAGAAGCAGCAAAACACTGCTTGAGCCGTGGTACGAAACAGGCCACGGAGCTTTTCTCTACTTGCTCACGTGCCTCTGCCTGCCAAATGGCCACTCCACCCTAAAACGTACTTCCTCACTCTAGGAACCCCTTGTAAGGGACCCTCCTTCCCCATCAAAGAAAACCAAACACTCATTGCAAATCCAAGTCACCCAAAGTAAACACATAGGTCCTCAATATCATTTCCTCCTGCCTTCTCAAAAGACAAAATGCCAAAAGGTTGGAAATCTTTCAAGAAATCGACTTTGAAATAAGCTTTTCCTTGTAAGCAATCCCCCTTTATTAACAAAGACATGGTAAGCACCTGATGGATTTGCTATCGACGGCCGTTTTCTGTTTATTTGAAGTGAGGGAAAGGTGGAAAGAATCAATGAAAACCAAAATGAAACAAAATGCACACACATTTTCTTCCCAACCAGCTAGTGCCCAATAGGGATATTAACAAATGACATCTCTGTCCCTCAGGTGGGTCTTGACATTCAATCCCAACACTCCTTTCCTGCTGTACACACACAAACTCTCAGACTTCACCAACCACACTGCCTTCTGTGAAGTCACGGAAGTTTTCACCCACTATACATAAGAAACCACTATTTAGTTGAAGAATCATGAGTAAGGTGATCAGATATCAAGAACTCAGAGGCTTGCTGATACACCTCCAGCATGCCCAATCATTCATCCCAAGAGGTGTTAAGAGTTCATGGAAGGGCCCCTACTACCGTGGGTCACAACACAGACTCTGTTTAGAGTTCCTGAGATGAAAATCTGGAGGTTTGCACAGAGAAACAAGAATGCCACACCGTACACAAGGCAGCCCAGGCCGGCAGCATGCACACCTGGGCGATCAGCCAGAAGCCCACCAGTAACTCTTGCCTTCCCAAACTTTCCTGAAACTTCTAGCGGTCTCTGGAGTCGCTGTTGCCTATTACGCAGCTCATTTCAGCCTGATTCAAACAGAAAGTAAGCATGATGCTCCCTCCACCCCCACCAATCCAGCAAAAAAGAGTGTAAAATGAAGGCATGTCACTACCACCTAATTGACTAAAATCTCCTGCTGAGAGATGGCATTAAATAATCCAGTCCAACAAAGGGGCTCATCCACGAGTGATGCTGGTTTGTGGCCCACACCTCCCTGCGGACCTGTCTGATCCTAACCCTCAACTAGGAAGAAATGAAACAACAAGGAAAATACTCATTATCAAACTTATAACTAACTAAATTTGAATTGTACTTTCTGGATAACAACAACAAGGTCAAGTGTCACTCACATAAATCCTGCATCTTGGATTCCAACCAACCTATGACTTGGTGAAGAGTCTTTCCACAAACCAACTGAGAATCTGGTCCCTGCTCCTTCGCAAGAATGCTCCTCAATTGTGAGACCACAACGGATTTTTTCTTAAGAGTCCAATATGATACACCACCATGGCCACAGTTCAAGGTTCTACCAGAGCCTCAGAGTACTTGAAGGTAGATATTTCCCAATGGAGTGCTTGGTACTCAGCCTCATGACAGTTGAGCCCTATCCTTGTTTCTCAGAATAACGTATTCCATGGCTCTATGCTAAATTGTTCCTGGTGGGCATCGGGCCTCCACTGTGTCACCCCAGGCACTAGAGACACTCCTTGCCCAAGTCCACTATCCCTGATGCATGAGGAGGAAAGACAACACAGCAAATAGAAACAAGCTATCAAAGGAAAACATGACTGTGTGAAAAATACAAGCAGAAGTCAGCATGTGGGGAAAATGAATAAGGAGTTGTCAGGTTTAGGAATGAGGGAACAGGTGACAAACGTAGAGTTGAGAAAGATCCAGAGATAAGGAAGAAAAACAGTTAAATCTGTTGGAAGATAAAATGAATCTTTACCCTACAGAAGTGGAAATAATGGATATTAATGAAAACACTCCTAGATTCTTGATGGAAGAAATAAATGTAAAAATAATGGAGAATACCCTCCTGGGCTGTCGTTTCCCTTAAATGAGGCTGGGATCCAGATGTGGGCATGAACTCCCTCCAAAGATACCATCAAGATTCCAGATGTGCCTGAATTCCTCGGAATCAGTGGCCTTCAGTCCTGACAGTGTGTTAGAATCACCTGGGAGATGAAAGCATTCCCTGATGCACAGGACCCATCCCCCAGATTTAGATTCAATCGATCAGGATGGGGCCTGAGTTCCCTCTCCCTGGAAGATTCTGGGGTGCAGAAATGAACTCCACATAAGCATCACTATCCTCCTCTCCTGCACATCACTGTGTCTGAGTCTAGAGGGGCTGGAGACCGGCCGTAAAGCAATTAAAAGACCACAAGGGTTTTAATCAGAGCTAGTGCTATACATCATGCTTCCAGGAAAGATCCTTAGGAAAACATGATCCTGAGGTTTCAATACAAAACCAAGATCCTCCGTTCTGCAGAGTAGCGAAAAGTCAATGTTCAGAAAAGACCATATTTACAAAATGAAAGGATGAATCATAATTTGTTTTTAAGGTTATCTCTATAAAGACAGAAAGAATAATGTAGAATGGACAAGGACAACAGCCTTCTTTAAAAACAACTTCTGTAGATTTGAATTTGGAACCACAAAAACATCGCATAGGGCCGGGCGCGGTGGCTCACGCCTGTAATCCTAGCTCTCTGGGAGGCCGAGGCGGGTGGATTGTTTGAGCTCAGGAGTTCGAAACCAGCCTGAGCAAGAGCGAGACCCCGTCTCTACTAAAATTAGAAAGAAATTAATTGGACAACTAAAAATACATAGAAAAAATTAGCCGGGCACGGTGGCACATGCCTGTAGTCCCAGCTACTCGGGAGGCTGAGGCAGGAGGATCGCTTGAGCCCAGGAGTTTGAGGTTGCTATGAGCTAGGCTGATGCCACGGCACTCTAGCCCAGGCAAAACAGTGAGACTCTGTCTCAAAAAAAAAAAAACATCGCATAGAATTCTAAGACTTAATAAAATTTTTAAAAAGCAATTCCTAGAACTTGTAAAGTGAAGCAAACGTACCTAAATATATACCCATCCAGTTGTTGGTATAACCACACAAAAAAAGGAACTATCGGAAGCGATTTTAAACAAAATAATTTGAAAATGCAATTCTTGTGGCACACACCTGCCCTAACAGTATCAACTGCAAAAAAAAAAACTCCAATTATTTTCAGAAGTTGTATTATGGGTGATAGTGTTGATACATATTACGACATGTTATGGGTGATAGTGAGATAAAACAAATGAATAATTTTGTTGATATCAGTGAGAACTGGTATTAGGCATGGGAGAAAAGAACACATAAGGGAGAAGAGATACAGATGTAAGACTACAGAGATTAAGTAAAAAACACTAGCATCATGAATCTGGTTTAGAAACACCTAAGCAAACTCAGGATATGTTTATCTTTAAATATATCTATATTCTCTGGCTTTGTCCAGTAAAAAAGCCAAAAAACAATAACCAGTACAGCAGCAATGAGCACCTCTGGTGCCCAGACGACAGAACCTAGATAGCATTTCCCACCAAAAAGAGTCAGGGCCACTTGGAGAAATGGCTAATTC